GTCCTTGAAAACCGCAAAATCGGCATGTCGCCATATACATCTCGAATGATGATCATCTCTACGCCGACACTCCTAGAAAATTTTAGCTTAAACGACTGCAGGACCGAATATTTTAGATATTACGGTGGTCTTGAAATTGGGTGCAGACTTACACTGTCAAGTCATTGCCTGACTGTACGTGCAACTACGGCTAATCAGAATGCGAAGTGCCGGATTCATGGTAGATGGTGTGAATAAGATATCTTTAAATATCAATAGCAGCTGACTGCAGATCCACTGCACTGGCCTTGATTATGTTTAAACGCACAGAAACGATCGCCCGCGTCAATTTATTCAAAAGTATTGGAACGTGTCGATCCATGACAATTGCTATATGTGTTGGGACGCAGCACTGTGCAAGCGTTGAACGCAATTGTGAACACCATTGCTAGCAAAATCGACGAAGGCAAAGCATTACTAAGAATACCTTATTTGATTGCAGCTGAACTTATAACACGGCAAATCTTCAGATGCTTTGAGTGTTAGACAGCATCATGATGCAGTCTTATATTGCATAAACGATGGCTACATATTATTCGAGACTTCAACAGTTTGCTCAGATCGGCAAGAAATAATCAGTGGTTTACTTGGGCGATGCAAAAGGTCGCATAAGAATCCGATTTATCACATGGACTGCTAATTTTATAAACCTCTAATCTGTTCTGTTATCAGTAGAGTAGAGATTTGAATAGATGGCTGAAGTGCATGAACGGCAATAACGTAATATGTAGTCGTGATTTGTAATTCTAATTTCAATTATGAAAGACGAAATTTACTTTACTACAACAACTTGTTTAAAGAAACACCTGAACATATAAAACTTAAATTTAAAAGTATAAAATCTATGACGTGGCTTGTGGACGGGAAAGCAGTTTTATTGTTTAGTACTACTTGATTATTATATCCAGAAGTATGGCAACTTATCATATGCTTTAGGACTCACTTAAGAAGATTCCACTGATAAACTAATGTAATTTTCATGACCAACGTAATAACTGTGGGCACCCTACAGATTATCCTGAAACACTAACAGCTCACTGTTAAGCCAAATTACTCAACTACGCTAAATTACAGGTGATCTTTCGTGTTTGCAGTCAAACATCTATTTTATTGCTATTCCTGGGGGAGACTGCTGAAATACAGACGACACCGCAGACCTGCTCTAAGGATTAAATTACGAACTGAATGTGATAAAACATGTAGCTGTGTTTCTTCACTTGCATTTAAACCGTCAGCTAAAACCAATCATGGATTAATGTCCAAACAAGAGACAAATATCGCAACTTTGATTACGTGCAGTCTATCACCTTTATGCACAATAACGCTGCGGTTTTTATAACTGATTCGTCAATGACCGCCCTTATAAATCTGTATTTTCAAAGTTCGAGTGTCTTTTTGGACTGCAACTATTTCCAGTAGCGCTCGTCTTCCACCAATCAAGCAGGCTGCAAGGGCTAGGTTCCAACGTCATGTCCTCTATATATTGCTTGTGTATTGTGTGGTTGTTCTACCTTACGTTTGCCAAGAGATACTCGGAACCTCTCTTCGACATCCTCATCATGCATCCAAACAATCGCAACTGTCAGAAGGCACAGTTCACAATGAACGGTATCTTTAAACGCCGCACTAGATCTTGCCGAGCCTCATCAGACTAAAACTATTCCGATAAAACAATTTCTGCGGCCTATAGATGAGATCTAACTCTTTTGGACATGTAATATTCATGACCATATATGAGGGTAAGGGCTAAATCACGTAGCTTCGTCGTGTTACAGGGGGCAATAAACGCCTCTGGACGTGATAAACATACCGTAAAAGGTCTCTTCTTGCGTCAAACCGGGTGCATACCTCCGAATAGTCGCATAAGGATCTGATATTTCGGCAACACTGCCATAACTACATCTCATAGCTTCGACCAGGACATATTATGGTCACTTGGAACACCTGAACCGCATGGTATTTGACGACGAATCGTCCCAGCCTCAAAACATCCTGTTGTGAGAGCGAACGGAGTTTTGCCATCCGTTGGCAGGGCTTAGAGTCTACTAATTTATGTCCGGTTTTGTTACCGAAGTTGTCAAATCGACGTCAAACTCCACGACTGGTTCGTGAAACCGAACCGCCTTTTACCTTCAAAGGGATGAGCCTGTTTTGCTTGAAAATGGGATAATTGTTGGACCTTGTGGATATTTCCTAAGGAACGAACAGGTTGAGTTCGAACCCAGTCCCGACTTGGTGGTCTCTTCGTTGCCTGTTCGCTACTGCTTATTTGTCGTAGTTAATCTCCATGCTTGGAGGTTGTCATATTGCTACGCTCAACCGGCGGCGCCATATGAAGAGCAGCATAGCATACACACTGCCATACTCTCGCGAATTTGTATCTTACTACTCCATTTCCCGATGAGGACCGATCGAAATATCCCATACGTGCTATATTTAAAATTTACCTCTAGTCGAACTAACTTCTGCTAACTACAGAATCGGAAGTAATACCGATATATTGTATATTCTTACCCTTTTAAGTCATAAATGCAAAATACTCCTTCATAAAGTTCAATGAAACAGATACGAATATTTCTTTTCTTTGCCCAGAGCCACGATCGAAAGCGAAAGCGTCTCGAATACACCTTTTATAGTCAAACACTCTAAGATTTTTATGAAAGAACGCCGAACTGTCAGAATGGAAAGAAGCGGTGAATTTTTTTATTATGCGACTAAGCATCATCCCCAAAGCAAATACGTTGAGAGCAACTAAGAATATGACCTTCGAAAATCGAAACCATTACCGAAAACGAAAACCGAAGACGTCATCTGAATATTCCCTGGTCCGTTGTTCACCTTCAGGTGACAATCACAGCAACAATTATAAGAACATTATAATATAACGAAATGAAACGAAACAAAATGAAATGTTTGCAGATGTGATAACGCCCAGCAGAAAGAATACAGGCGATGCCTGATTCGATTAACACTGCGCAAACGGCATGATTTAAGATGCAAATGCAAAAAAATCGTTTCATAACGCAGATTTTCATATTAACTCGAAATGTTAATTCGGAAAAATCCGTAAATGTGGTCAACCAGAAAGACAAATTTTCGGGATTGTTTTCGAACAATTCTCGAATATATCGATTAAGGAGTCATCTTACTGAAAAATGTATATATTTAACAATATAAGACACAGAAAATACAAAATGAATCATCTTAGGACTCATCTGGAGCAAATTACATGAGCACGCGCAAGTCAAATGGAAAGCTACAAATGATGGGCTGGGCATTTGAAATGATGCGAATTCGTCTCGATGATTCAAGCTAACATTTTGTTTCGATGATTCATCACCGCAGCAGACAGAACTCGAATAAATCGGAACACGTACAAAAAGTAAGCGATGCACCAGACCTTAGGTTGATGGCGTTTTTGGAGAACAACGATGGCTGACCGTGGAACTGAAACTGGAACGGGCCGAAGGTGCCGCCGTATCGGAAGCCGTGGAAGAAGTCGTGGTCGTGATCGTGGTCGACGCCGGAGCCACCGTCATCCGCACCGAAATCGTCGTACCTTCGTCTTCGCTCTGGGTTCGACAGTAACTCGTATGCCTCATTCACCTCGACGAACTTCTGCGCCGCGTCAGGACTCTTGTTGCGGTCCGGATGCCAAAACTTCGCCAGGCGTTTGTACGCTTGTTTGATTTCGCTGGACGACGCTGACCGGCTAACAGTCAGGGTTTCGTAAGGATCTGTGGCAGACGACGACCACGACACGATAACAAGTACGGATAACAGAACGACGAAACGCCGATGCATGAAAGCTGTACTACGAAATCCGTACTTCGGTTACCGCGTATGACAATGACGAATGATACCTGCGCATCAAGGTTGAGCTAACAGTAGTTGATCGGTCAGTCTGCCCGTAACGCACTGTTCCCTCCGTTCCGTATTGTTGCGGGCAATGCGTGTTTCTGATCGCCATGTGTCTCTTGCTGTGGTGCTGTTATGCACGTTATGGTATTCGATCAGTTCGACTAGCAATGTACTGAACAAGACGATTCTGCAGGTGTTCCCCTTTCCGTTAACGCTAGCCATGTCCAACATCTGCGCCACGGCGCTCTATTCGATTCCGTTGGCATGGACGCAACGGACTAACCTGCTGAACGTCAGGCATACGGTCGGCGCCCCTTGGAAGTTGCTGTTCTCCTTGGCGTTCGGCAAACTGATCGCCGTTTCGTCGTCCTTCATCAGCCTATCTAAAGTGCCTGTATCCTATGCTCATACCGGTGAGCACATAGTTTTGTCTGGCTGGTTCCGTAATTACGTGTTCATCTGCAATCCTGTTATGTGATATAAATCCTATTCGGTGATGATATTCTCCTGCTTTGGCTACCGCAAGCGTCTATCTACCTTAGCTAGAACCTCGTACCATTACCTCACACGTTTCTTACTATTCTCATTTTTAAAGATATTGCTCTGATCTTATGCAAAGGCGTAATCATTCTTCACCGTCGAATTCAGACTGTCGTTTATTTCGCATTTATACCATTTTGACCGAAATTTATACAATAATGGTCAATCACGACGCATCACGAATCTTACGTACTGCGGTTTTGCCAAGCGAGCTACTAATGATGATGACAAAATGATAAGCAATTACCCAATTAATTTTTGTTATTCTGTTTGATGCGGCTTTCATTTCTCTTCGTATTTTTCTACACTGCAATGTGCCATACCTAAGGCTAAACATTATTTTATTCTAATTTTTGCTTTTGTTGTGCTGGAAACAGAACTTACCGATGATTCAGTTCATATAACAAAGATTCTCTATTCATCCATCCTCTGTTCTGTCCAACTACCAGTATGGCATTCCTTCTGCTTGTATTCTTTGTTTTGGTGTTATCTGTATTTAATATTTCTGTAATCACCCTGCAGAGTTATTCTTCTGTGTAAGTCCTGATATCCTCTGGGCGAGAAAACAGCGAATTCAGTTTATGATTACACATTGGCTGATTGACCAGTATATCATGGGTCTTTATCAAGTATAGGGGTTGGTTTGCTTCGTATTGTTGTTTAAAACCAGATGGCTCGACATCCTGTCACATAAGTGTTTTTGCATCTTGATACAAGGTGGAAGAATTTCTCGCCGTCAAGGATATTTCCGTTTAGTCTCCATTGCCATGTGATCTGGCTGTTGATCTGTGATCCATGTACGTTTGTATTGGAACACGAAATATTTTATTCATGTGATATTAGTCGTATTGAAAGCAACATAAAACACGACTTATGCAATATTGTACAGAATGCGGGAGCTTTGGCTTTTCGGACAATTACTCGTCACCGATGTTATGGCACACATCTCGCTGGCCATCTCTGGAATGGGTGGTTGGATTTCTCTTCGTTTCTCATTGGTTTTTTTCCACCAGCCCAACTGCTATAACAAAACCTCACTATTCACTTTTCTTTTCCATCATTCCATTGTTTCCTGCACATTCATTTTCATCTCGTTGTTGCAATTTGTTTACTGGTTTTTGTTGTGATCATCTTGCTCATAAACAACGACAACTAACTTTTAAAGTAAAAGTGATGGATTTTGTAATATCTGAATGCTAGACTAAAAAATATTTTAAAAATTTCCCCGTTGATTGATTTTCAAAACCTGCTTCCTCTTTCGCTTGGCTCGGGCAGCTGAACATGCTTAAGAAATCTTGTCCCTGATTGTCCGTTATTCCACAGTCCATTGTTGCTCATTGATTAGACTCAGAACCGAGGGATCTCGCCTTTGTTACTTCCGAGCTTGATGAATGACTATCACTATGGTGGAAGGAAGCGAAGGATTGAACAAGATACTTGCCACGTATCTGCTGTCCACTCTGCCTTTAAAATAAGACATCTCTGGCTGATGGCGTGAATTGATCTGGCTACCATTAACTTCATAAAACGAACATATATTTGCTGTAATTACTATATTTGCATTTGCCGTATATTTACCATAATCTGCTCAAGCCTTATTGTACGTTATCTTGCATCGGCTTTTTTTGCCCTTTCTTTGAAGGTTCATCAGTTTTGTTTTCCAAGGACTCAGATGTTTGGTCTGTAGAAGAGTCTGATCGGTTTATTGCTTTTGTCCTCAGAGCAAGTAACGATTATGTTTTTATGGCTATATGGTTTATTCCTTTTAAGTATCCATGCTCATTAAACCCAGCGATCGTTCGCACCACGTTAGACTGCCAGTTGACTATGTTCCTTATGTTGTGTGAATTCTTTTACGCATATTCGCGGCACGTAACCCAGACACCGCGGGAAGGTGGTCACTTTCCCATTTAGGCATGCGACGGAAGATCTGAAGTACTGAAGATTGCCTCATTCACATACATGTGTCAGTTGTTCTCTCATTCCCCCTCCACAAATGTCGAATTTCTTCTGCCAATATAATCACGAAAAATTATTTGAAAATAAACAGGTTTATTTTGGATTTTGTGACTTGACGATTTTAAATAGGAGGAATATGGGAACTGAACAAGAGTTTGTTGCTCAAGGATGCGCGTTAGCGGTGTACTAATGAATCGTTGGACCCTCCCTGGGAGCTGATTTTTTCGTTAAGTTGGAAAATGACGTACTTGTTGTGCACAGTTCGGTTTTCTGTCCTTCTACTTAGCTTTTTTACACGACTTCTTTCATTAGCTGCTTGAAGACGGCCATAATGTCCTGTTATGAAAGACTTGTCCTATTGTTATTCGGTTTCTGGTTGGCGAAAGATTGCAAGCATTACTATGAACTAATTCACTGATATAGCGGCAGTCGTCCGTTTCTCTTCAAAAATAAGTAGAATACGGAAATTTTCTTAACTACTTCCTTCATTGGCTGTCAGATACTTGCTGTGCTGTTCTCTAAACTGTGTCACTTAAGTCAAAGTTTTATTGCTACCGTAAATGCTAACTGGTTCTGTATTTTTTTCAGTAGAAATTCACCAGCACTAAAACTCTTTCGTTGTAAAGTGCTAGTTATTTCTGTTGTCAACAGGAGGAAAGACAGGTGAAGGGAAACTTGAAAAAGAATATGCAACAGATTATAATGAAAAAATTGTGATTATGCTAATGACGATGTTTAAGATGGTGTTTATGGTGATAATGATGCTAACTATGAAGATTAAGAAAATGAAGATGACGAAGAGAATGGCAGTAATTATTGTTTTTGGTTTTAAACCAAATTTTTAAAGTTAAGATGTTGTTTTTTGATTTAAGGGCATTTGTATGTATTTTATTTCTCGTCACAACTTCAGGTTTACCTTCGCGGATCCCATGTTAGTACTCTACTCACTCTTACTGCTTGTTTTAAAATACCATATATTCGTGATCTGCTTCAAATCGTCCATTGGCTATGTAGAAGCAATGTGATGGTTCAGCATTGCAGTATAAACCGATATAGTTACTCATGCATCATTTGTGTATAATGTATATTTTAAAGAAGACGGAACAGTATAGCGAAGAGGCAGTTACTGAATTTTTTGCATCAGTGTTCCCTTCAGCATTTTGCGTAAGCTACAGAAAATCTATAGACATTCAACTGCTTCTCCTAGGGGCAGATGTACATGATGTTGCTTTTGTCATTCTTCGTAATTTTTGGTCATAGTATGCATTCCATATTTTCATAAATATATAAGCGGATCTGTTCTCTTCGTTTGCGCATTATCATTGCCAATTTCTTTTATCGTTGGGTCGAAAACAGTCCTTTGCGTTACCGAAATGAAACAACAGAAGAATTAATCGTTTTGTGCAGTTAACCATAACCTGACTATTGCTGATAATTAAAATTTTCCTTTCCCAAGCAAGAATGATGATATTTTATTTTTATGAGAAAATACAATACCATATCTGCATATATGCTGGACAAACACCAACTGTCTTTACGGGTATTTAAAACATCCAATCAATGAATAACGCGGTTCTCGTAGAACCGATGCTTTGTAAATATTAATTCGGTGGACGTGCGAATTAAAGCGCCTCGTTCTGAAACACCTGTGCAGTAAGAAAGGCTCTGAAATAACGTAGATGATGGCTTTTTGTTCAACAGCGTTCTCGCGTTGTCTGGATATTATCGTAGTCACTAAATGCCGTATGTTCGTTTGATGCTTACGACGGCTATCGCACCGGAGCGAGTACAAACACCTGTCCACGCCGTCGTCGTTGTAAGGAGTTCAATTTCGAGGTAACAGTGCCTAGTGTGAATCATAAATTCATAGCCATACACTTCGTCTGCCTCGGTTGATATTACGTGGTTGCGCCAATTGACGGTATGGTCCATAATGATTACAGGCGTTAAACCGTTCGATAGTCGGTTGTCTGTATGATGAATGTTTCTTGTCCACCATATGATTCGTTCGTTGTATCTGAGTCAACAGTCGCGAAAACGACACTGCAACTACGTTTGAAATATTTGCAGCTGTTACGACATCAAGAACAGGGAACCTTTGTTTGTATTATCGGAATATTGTTTACGCATTCACGTGAATTGCTATGCATCCACCGGCAAGGGGCAGAAGAAGATTTGCGTTACGGACCTGCTGAACCGTTATATGAAAAGGGACGGAGTTTCTTTAAGAGGGAGAGAGGGAGGGCGGCTGAATTAAATAAAACGCGACGTTGAGTAGAAATGGTGTCGCAAAATAATAAATACTGGCTGATATTTTGCATCACATTTGAAGAGCTATGGTGCACGCGATTTCCTTTACCTATGAAAGAAAAACGAAAGCAATGCCCGTAACCGTTCAAAGGTCAGTCTTCTTTACACTTTCATGATGTAGCCATTTCTGGCGCCTTTTTTCTACGAAGTGAATGGTGTGCGAAGATCTTCATTTCCATGCGATCAATAAAGAGTTCGTTTTTTAAGTCAGAGTCAATAGCATCTGTGTGATAAATATTGCGGATAGTCTCTTGTTTCCTTTCCATAAAGTTTTGCTTATTTATCAGACTTGTTTCTCGACTAAAGCTCGAATCCAGACCCTCTCGGTTCTGAGTTCGATGTTCAGTCTGTCTGAGCAACCCCTGTTCTTTTAACAGAGATGCTTAACGCGTGCATTTAGTGGTAAATAATAAACGAAACAATTATTGCGTAAATTGTTCTTTTGCAATTTGCATATCTGACTAAACGGGTGAAAGGTCCCCTGCCAACTTTATTTTTCCACGTTTATTTTCAAATAGTTTTCACCTAATTCGGTAGACAGATGTCTGACTTTCATATCGATGTGGGTTTTGAAAAGTTGTGATTCGTCGACAGCTGTTTCTATCGATTCTTTTTCGGATCCTACGACGTAGGCGCTGTGGACACCTACTGCATCGTTGCAGTGTGGCTGTGGCCATGAAGATTCGACCATGAAGCACATCATTTCTGAATGCCCTCTGGGAAAGTTTTGACAAAAGCATCACTGTTGTCCATAAAGCTAGTGCAATTTCCTTTCATTAGCTTAGAAACCTCTGGTAATTCAGTTATAAATTGTTGGTCACTTCTCGTAATCTTACGACAGAAAATAAGATATGTGATCAGCAGAAGGTTGTAACTCTTGTTGCACTCTGTCTTTAGCTTGCGTTTGTACATTTCGTAACTCTTTCAGGTTTAAATGCAGTTTCATTTTTATGACTTGTTTTGCCCTATTCCATGACACATTGTGCATGTGTATTGGACTGTTTTTAGTGAAAGCCACAATGCCGTTGTTTGCAGTCGTATGTTCGAAGATCTTCCTTAACGAAAGACAGACTACTTTAGTAAGCATTTACTTGTTTTCTTATACTTTAATTACTACTTTTTTTGTTTTGCACCATCATTACATCCACTACGTATTTTGCTTCGTTTATTCTTAAACCCCATGGTGTTTGAGCACTTGTTATTAAACGTAAGTATCATCACTGCAGGCGTCATTTTATTATCCAAGGCAATACCTTGCTCATCGACAGTGATTTTCAGAGCCAGTACTCGTTATACTCTTTCGTAAACGTGAAAGTATCGGCTATTTTTCGCAAAATTTCACCTTCTCCCGTCTGCACATGTATTTATTTATAAATATTACACTATTTATTGTGATAAACAGCGGACCGATGTTCAATTGTTATTTTTGCTGCCAACGCTTGTTTCCAACAACGTTGACTTCCATCTAGCCAATAAATTGTGCAAACATACAAAAAATATTTAATTAAATTTCATGGGTCAGCGATGTCAAGCGAACTGTCAGCGCTGCAGTTGCATGCCCTGATCTTGTTCGTAGAAATGTGAGGTACGGTAACATTTAGTATTGTTCATTTAGTTTTCATTTTCTAGATCATACTCAAAAATCTATGCTTCCAGTGGCGATTTAATTATATTCCTTAATTTGCATTTAATGAAGTGAATGAATTAGTTGATTTGTGTTCTGAGGTAATGATCAGACTGTTTGTACAAGCTGAGCCACAGGACAAATGCACCTTGAGCTCTTACTTTTAAAAAAACTTGAATATTTTGCAGAATCACCCAGCATATAAAAAATTATATCGAATTGATATATTTTCCGTGTAAAACAAAAAATTTTTCTGTAATGCGTCTGACTTAATATGTTGCAGAAACATTTATTTTGCTCCCGCTGTACATCCATCTTCCTGTCCCTACCGCAGTATCGGCGTAAAGTAGGAGATCATAGTTTCTTACTTTACACCGATTTATTGCGGAGTGTAAGGCAAACCGTAGTGATTTCACCGTTGCTTTTACTGGCCATGGCTCTGATATATATGAACGAATACAGTGCTTACAACGCTTGCATCTCGTCAATGAGTCGGAACACGGAAGCTCATAGCCTATGCTCATGGAGGAATCAAAATGAATGCTTTCACCACGCAGTACTTATTAACTCATCAGCATGATAAATGAGGCTTGGAACGAAGCGGTATCTTTCGATTGTACTTTGAGACGTTTTGATAGTGTTGTATAATCGTTCATGCTTTGAACTAGATGTTTCAGGTGTACCTCTCTCTGATCCCTATTGTCTCAGGTGTCGTCGTCGCGTCGTTGTCCGAACTGTCTTTCAACACCGCCGGTCTGCTCAGCGCCCTGGGCTCAACGTTTGCCTATGCACTGATGAACACGTTCGTCAAAAAGGTAATGTAGTCGACGTCATTGACGCCTCTGCTTCTCTGACCGATGTGTCGTTGCAGATTCTTCAGGAAACTGGTATGCATCACACAGTGCTTCTGGCAATGATCGCGCAGATCTCCTGTCTGCTTCTGCTGCCATTGTGGCTAATCAACGACGTACAGTCTTTCAGCGACATGGTATGACTCATCATCGTTGCATTTTCGTTATTACGGTAATTTATTAGATTTGTTCGTTGATGATAGGTGACTGACTTTACGCATTAGAAATTTCGCTTTAAATCCATTTTTAATCCATTTGGCATGTGCAGTTTCGCTTAATATTTACTTATTCTTGTTTGACTTTGATAAAATGGTCAAAGTAATTTGATTTCAATTGGTAAAATGGCATTTCTTGGCAGTTCAAACAGTATGGCATAGTTTCGAGACATTGCCGCGTCATGGCGCGAACGTCCATAAACATGGTGCATTATTTGTTTTATTTTCAGAGTCAGAATGATCCTTTGACCACAGAAGTAGCATTTTAGGCAGCTTCTGATAAACAGTGTTAAGACATTGCTTCAAAAGGAGCCTTAAGTTTCTTAAAAATTGTTTCTATCGTATGCACTTGTAGTGACTGTGTTTATATTTGTGTCAGTAGTATCCACGAATCTTTGACACTCAGTGTAGATGACGTCCGGACAGTTCTGATTTACTTGCGTAAGTATTATCCATTGTCAGGGGAAATTTTTACTGCTGGCTTTAAGCTATTTCGGCACACCATACCATCAGAGTGATTGCTAGAATTGGTAATGTCGCGCACATTGTCTGTCGTCCATATTTCATGAACCGTTCGGGCCAGGTTGGCACACCAAGATGTCGTTGATCCGTTACATGCAATCTCATCCTTTGTCATCGCAAAACCTGATTCCAAGGTGGATTCAGTAATAGTTGCAAAAGTTTAACAACCTTTGCCTCCAGAACAGAAAACAACATGCACATTGGTACAAACAAGTCACTTCTATGACGATCATTTTCTGATTTACTACATAGACAACAGCAAACAATTTTTAGGCATTTTTGAAGAAAATGGATACTATGTAACATTTCCGGTTCTGGACCCCATGTTGAAATGCTTTGCCGATGCATGTTTGACGGTACCAGACAAGACAGTTTAAAACTTTATAATCAAACTAGGTTGGCAATAAAGTATTAACACCAGCTCTGTTTGATGCTCTGAGCCGTGGATCGGCAGAGCATCTGTAATTTAACATGAATGAGTTGTTAGTTTCAAATTAGCGTTCATAAGTACATTTTTCAATAGATAGGTATTTAGAAAAATGCTAGATTCTGGAAATATTGTATTCTAGAAGCATTTTTTGTATAGGTCCTTAGTTGTAGTTTTTATACATTCATGCTTATCACCATTTTATCCATAAACGTTTTTTCTGGAGGCTTCTTATATAAACACTGGCACTGATGTAACATGGATTTCAGAAGGCAGATATTTTTCTTTCATTGTTTAAGTAGTTGGGAAAGATTTATGCAATCACCGCTCTATAGCATGAAAGGTATAATAATAACGGTGATCTTCAAGAAGCCGATCCAAACCGTTAGGTTTGCCTCTGCGATCCCATAAGCCGGTAACTTTTAATATTAGACCGCTCAAAGACCTGTTCCTAAAAAACTTGAGGATATGTTTAGATTCCGTCAGTCTTCAGTGCTGTGAAATAAAGCGACTACGGGGTGGTCTTCATTAGAAAGTTTTGAAAAGTCCACCGGAGACCGACAAGAAACAGCGGCTATCAGGTAAACCATCCTCAGACAGAAAGTTTAAAAACTACTTTTCTGCAAGTCGTGGTTCTAAATTTGGACAGGTTCTGGAATGTCTCTGAAGTGAACTGGAACAGTGTATATGTTACCGTCCAACGTGGCATGGACTGCAGCGGTTCATGCCACTGTGGAGTGAAACTAATTTGCATTTCAGTTCAGAGCGGTAATGTTTGGTTTTTACCGCATTGCTCACTAAGCTAAGTCTGCATCAAAGCTATGAGGTAAACTCAAACATGCAGATGACTGAATACTGAGACTTGGGTATAAGGATAGACTTAGTAACAATGTAGCAATAGCAAACAACGAACTGACAGGATTTGACTAGGTATTGCACCGCCTTCTTACTCCTAATTGCTAGCGGGTTATTCAGGCATGTCACTGCACCTGCGGTGTATTAATGATCCTCTACAGTGCAAGATGCATCTCGAATCACTTAGTACATTACAGGCACATCCCGCTCATCAAATACAATCTTTCAGAAACTAGTGCTCCTTATATGTGTCTAGTGTAATGTATATATAGCTGTTGAACTCTAGAATCACGCAAATCCGTTTCAGTCTACACCGGTATCAATATGAACGAATTCCTGTTCTAGACGGAAACATATAGACACAAGTAAGGATTCGTGTGTTGATTCTCTGTCAGAGTAGTCTGAGCAAAGTCCTACAAACATTCATTCATTATTAAAACATTGTAAAGTCTGTATTTGTTCCTTGTCCATGCATGAACGTCTCTTGTATCAGAAAAGGTTATTTCTGTCTAGAGACCGGAATCTTCTTTTTGAGGAAGTGTCTAATGGATGACTGAGTTAATGGTCATTTTAACAAAAAGCTGTATATAACAGTTAAACACATTACGGTTTTCTTACAGTGTCGAAGTTTCTTTGACAATTTTGATTGTTTTTCAGTAAGGACCACCCACCGACTCGTTTTCGATATGCTTTAAAATTCCTGTCAAATTTTTCGCCGAAACGCGATTCAGGTTTAGCTGTTATGTGCTCTGCATGAATTGCCATAAGATTTGCGTCAGTTAGTTCCTTCATATACGGGTTCGTATATCCGTAAGTTCCTTTCAAAGCCAGGGAACATGACGGAATATTGCGATAATGTCGTGATCTACAGTTTTCATACCTCGAGCATTACGGCATTAAGTCGTTTAGGCTTTTAGAACCAGACCTGATTTTCACACTCCCAGGAATGCTTGTGAATCGAAAGTTCACCGTTGTGTTGAAAATCCAAATGAATTATTCCTGTCGATGTCCGTCAGAAGCTTGGCGAAGGTTCAGCAAAGTTTAAAGTCAGTAGGCTTTGAATGTTGTAGTATCGTCCTACAACATAGGCTCAATCAGTGAGGTAGCTTCGGGTGGTTGATCGGAAACCTGTTTTGATGTTATTAATGAAGTTTGTAACGTTGGAAATGCGACTGGTACTGCCGCCGCTAAGAAACACAGTGTTCAACGACAATTTTTCCTTTTCCTTTGATTATGAGCTTAGTAGCATTGCATGATATTATTTGAACATTAGGACATTTTTTGGCGAGTATTTGTTCAGCAGTCTCCTGCTCTGTGAAATCATGAGGGCTAGGCGTGCTTTGCCTCTAAATGAACATGATGTTGAAGATCTTTCAAACCTATGTTCTCACAAGGAGGAGGAGCCCAGAGTCGAGGAGCAGGAAGTAGAATAATTCAATCAAGAATAGGAGCAGGCACTGATACAAAAGTCTGCGTATACCGTCGTTATGCGAAACCTCAATGCCAAGATCGGACGAGGAAAGATCGGGGAAAAGTTCTTCGGTATGTGCGGCGCTGGAAAGCGAAATGAGCGATGAGACCAGCTGGTCACTCTGACAGAAACTAAGGAGCTGTACGTTAGCAACTCGTGGTTCAAGAGTAAGATCAATTAGTGCGGGCCGGATTATCCTCTGAGGAGAAGATGGAAAGGAAGGAGGTGTAGATGGCAAATAACAAAGACCAAAGGTATTCGACGAGAAAGACTTGAGACTCAAAGACAGCTGCGATGACGATTACGAGAGGTTCGCCGAGAAACGAAGGCGCTGGATAAAGTCATCTGACGTGAACACGTCAGAGAAAGCGAAATGAAGGATCTCAGCAGAAAAGCAGAATTTTTTAGAGAAGCGAAACAGGATCAAGAAAGTTGGGACCAACACACTGAAGTACTCTGTTCTGTGCAAACTCATTAAATGGATGCTGAAAGAGCACCGTAGGAACTTGTGAGGGCAAAAATTGAAGAAAACAGCAGTAGACCACAGAAGCCTCAGAATATGCAGGAAACAGTCAGCGTTTCATCAGTTCTACCATCATTGCGTTGAACAACGGACGGCAGCTGAACAGCTGAGACGTAGTCTATCTGTGTGAACTTTCACACCCAGGTCTTTGCATCAAAGACACCTGCCCTCACCATCACTCGAACTGCCAGAAAGAAGTACAGTGCGGTTCCTCAAGAGCGAACTTTGTCGTTCGGCACAATAAATGACTTAATTAAGGGCCCCCATGGAGATGCTGTAGACGGAGAAGGTCAGTTACTACTTAGAAACGGCATACACACAATCAAGCTAAAAGGAGTTAAACAACCGTTCTGTTCAA